CAGAAACCAAAAAAAAAGGACTGAGCTCTGGGAGAGTACGATCATTTCTTCAGCAAGGCTTAATAGGATTTGAGAGCAAAGAAAGGAGTCTCGATTATCATACATTAGAAAAGGAGAGAACATACCTACGACATAATGGCATCATGGAAAGCAGTCAACGAAACTGTAAAAAAACTAAATAGGTATGAAGGAACTTATATTTGGCAGGAAAATAAACGGAATATATAGAGTGAACTAGTGAACAGCTTGAACAGCGTGACGATGACTCATTTCTGACTATTATTTTCATGTGCTTATACCTCTCTCATCGTTTTGGAGTGAGAAGCAATTCTTTATCAAAACAAAACTATTAATCTCAACTCACCAGGTTTGACACGAGTCAAACTCTGAAATGAGAATTTGACGGGTCCTGATAATCCATGCTTGTTATAACATTTTGATTGCTATAAAAAAAGCCTTATCATGAAACACTACACATTTAAGAAAATGTGGTTCCATTCTATTAAAAAACGAATTTTTCAAGGTATTGATAACAAATTTAATTTTTTTTTTTTACTTCAAACAAGCAAAAAATCGCACTTATGCCAAGTAATTTTTTCTAAATAACGGCTGGAGGAATATAGGAATATATTGAGAGAAGTTACTTGAAATTAAAGTAGAAATTCGAACATCTGAAAATATACAGGAGTCTTTTAAGAAAACATAACTTCGGGTCACCAATAATTATTTGGCCCCCCTGTATATTGGAAAATAATTTAAGAATGTAGTAGTACTCATGTTCATCTTCACGTTTAAGTTTCGTATTAACTTTTTTTAAATCTCCCCTAGTATAGAAAGTATGGACCGCGCGCTGATTAACCCACCCAACGGTGTTGCTATGTTAATTTAATCCTCCATTAGAAAAGGGTTTTCAGTTTTATAGAATCCCTTTTTTATTGCTCAAAAATATTATTTAATTTCTATAACCTCAAACAGTCGACCTAATCCAGAGCCAGCTGAACTGAACTGAAATTGAGAACAAAAACATTTTACGTCCCACCCACGCAATTTTCACGGGCACAAACTATTGATTTTCCCTCGCTAAAGGATAGATATAGATATATACAGTGTGTACATAAAGTATGGAATAAATTCAATATAATATAAATGAGGGCATTTCAGAAAAAATGCTCGGACCCGGCGTTTTTGTTTTATTTTTATACAGAGTGCTCCCAAGAACAGCTGTACCGTTATCAACTTAATTTTTTTAAAAGCCCCTACTTATAATATATTATGACATTTCTGGATTCTGCGAAAAATTCTAGACATATTTCGTGCACACTGCCCGAAATGTCCCATACCTGTCTTCAACTCTTTCGGAAATATGGACAGTTGAAAATTGACTTTTTTGCAACTTTATTGATATGGGCTGTGAAACCTAAACAGTTAATTTTGGAGCAAAACCCAAAACCGATCTTACATTTTGGTCTTAGTTTTTCATAAGCTATCGTTTGACGCCAACTCCGAATTTGAACGGAGAATAAATTCAACCGGCGGAATCCTTTATTATGGATTCAACAAGTGGGCTAGTTACGTAATATATGAGTTATTTTGAAATACACCAGCTATGTGTCGAAGAATATAGATCGTAAATCAGTAGCGGCGGAAGATATAATGATTCTTGTATGGGCAAAACAAGCAGTTATATAAGTTTAAGTAGGTACCTCAAATGGAATTTGTTACAAATATTATTCACCTATTTAACACATAAATAAAGTTGAAGAAACGTTCTTTTTCTACCACTAACTAACAACACAATCGAAATACGATTACAAAATATTAACATTGCCCTACAAACTAAATAAAAACTAAACAGGCAAAATCAATGTTAATATCCCGTCCCCTATGATAACATAAGCTCTGCTTATCTTTAACGCATGCAACATTTTATTTGTTGGTATTGCATTACTTTCCTATACAACATAATAAACATTTTTAGAAACGCTTTCAATAAAAAATTTAACAAATCGGTCAGCTGACTGCAGGAATTTCCCAATTTGTTGGTTATGTGCATGTCAAGATATTTGTATTTTTTACAGTGGTTTATTTCTTATTGTTGTTCTCCTCAACTATTCCGTTTTTTTATTGTTCACTTCGAGCCCCCACTTATGGAATTTGTCGATTAGCTAACGGGTCATATATTCTAGTCTTAATTGGGCCAGAAATATTTGATCGTCTGCGAAATATGTATAATATGAGATCATTTACTGGTATTTCCATGAATTCTCTTCTGCTATGCATAGAACCCTTTAACAACCTTGCTTACCATTAGGCTAATCCTGGTTTTTAGAGAGATTTCCGAAGATTCAGCAGAGTTGAGCTGTCGTACGTTGAGATCTATACGTAGAGGAGATCCATTTCCTGGTTTCGTGCCTCTCTAAATCTCCATTATTTGGATTATCGTGAACAAATGTTCAATGGTGGATCTGACCGCTCTAAAGCCCACCTGTTCTTCGGTCTATATCTTAGTACTTGTCTTCAATCCTCTCCTGTATAAGTTTTCTATAGACTCTCGAGAAGATGCACAGGACTGCGATTCCTCGACATTTATCGCACACATATTTATTTCCCTTTTTGCTAAAAGTTGTGATGTTGTATTTGATCATTATTTCACTAAATTTTGGAATCGATAAAGGTTGGAAATATAAAAAAAAGCAAATAAAAATAAGATTTTAATCCTTTTTTTTTGTCGAAATTTTGAAAGGGTAACACAAGCATCTTGATCGTTTGGCAGGAACTTGAATACTTCCTCAATTTGGTTCCAAAATCGACAGGGGATAAAGGAAAGGGGTAAGCCTTGAATTGACTTAGTTTTTTGATATCTTAAACCGAGCATTCCCTACCCGATTAAAAACCAATTTGAGGAAGTATTCTGGAACACCCTGTTGAGTCCCTGCTGAAAAATGGGCTATCTTCAGTACTACAACTATTCGTAAAGTTTTCCCTGCGTTTTTATCATTACACGGTCCATCCGAGCTCGATTTTTGAAAATAAATAAGGAAAAGGTCGTAGGTATTGTATTACAGAAAATCTATCTTATATTAGCGTTCCTGATACGAGTTGAACTGCGGTCTATAATTTGAACATTATTGTCGTCAACACAAAAGTGATCCAATATGTAGGTACCATAGGACTGAAAAGATTTATATGCATGAGACATCAGCGTCACTCAACGCTATTAGGTTCCTGTAATTAATTTTGCGGTTTCTTTTCGCTAGATGCCAGCGTCAATGACCAACTACTATATCTTTAACGGCAAACTGAATTGCTCTCAAGATCTTTAAGGGGTATTTCGTATTGAGGAACTGCTGATAATTTTACAGCAGCGTAACCAGATCATCTAGTACCAATTGAAGGACGATAACAATGCAGCCATTGCTCAAAAAATATATGACCACGAGTTGTACCTACGCATAGCCAACTATCAAATCAAATTAAAAAAAAGTGCGACTGTTGAATTGTTGAAGAGAACGTAAAAGAACGGTAATGGTCAGACCTATACGCAGCTGAAAAATTCACAATACCTCAATGCAGTGTCTACAAATCCGTAAAGCAGGAGAAGTTCAAATCCAATTACAAACGATATACAAGAATATGGGATAGGAAAAAACTGTATATAACTCACCAAAAGCATCCCCAGACTCAGAAGCGGAGTTGGGCAAGAATTCTGAAAAATAGTATCGGTTCGCTTTCAGTTGGGGGCAATTTAGCAATATAGCGAGGTAAGAATTTAGTATTTTTGTGTTACCTACTACATCAGTTAAATGACACATCATTTTTCATGATGATGGAGCCTCAGCACTTCCGGTGCTGAGGTTATGATACACATTTTGAGTGGTTTGGCCAGGGCAAAGCCGCGACATTTTGCTTCTAGATTACTTATACTGGATGGAGGTATCTATCATTCAAAATAAATTTTCGATAATGTTGAGACAGGCTTATGAATATGGAGAAACCGATACATGAAATGATTGAGGGTTCAAGCAGTATCATGGCATGTCGTGATACTATTGATAGAAGATATGTTCACGATCGTTTAGGGAATCTTTCTTTTTTTAAAACAATTTAATGTAATTAATATCCATATTTTCACAATCAAAAATCGACAGTGATTATATTGCAAGTTTAGGGTGTGAAAAATGTGTGAATTATTTTTATTTAACTGTTATATTGAAATTTTCAGGAATTACTTAACGCTCTCAAGAGAAATCATTAAAATTCAGATTGTACTTGCGCGAAGCTTCAGCTCATTACCTTTTACCTTTAATAAAACATGGTCTGAACATACGGTTATAAATAAAGCACTACGACCCCTTTAAAAAAATTACTGTATACGTTTTGGGACAGACTACACATGCAAGTTTGTACTAATCAAGTTGAAAAGGTTATTGTTAAGTAGGTTCATAGGTATTTTAAAACTCAACACTTAATTTTTTTACTAGGTCCAGATATTAAACGACTCCAAGCCTGTTAAGAATATTTCAAAACCCTGGATGCCTACTGGTTTTTCTTTAAAGTTCTATCTAGTATTTTGAAGTGGTAAAAATATCAGTGAAGAATATAAAAATTGATAACTAAGATTACATTGTTGTACCACGATACACCATTATACATCAATAAATTATTATTCTTGTAATCATTAATTATCCTTCAATACGATACATTAGTGTTAGGTTCCAATACTGTGTTTTGCACCCATTAATTAATTTTCTGAGGGAGGGGTTGTTTATCATAAAATGTATCTAAGAATCGAAAATGTCAGCAAGCAAATCTTAAACTAACCCAAACTAACCCAATCTCCAAATATGTATGTCTTTAAATAGGCATTAATAGTTTTGACTATGAATGACCTTTCCGCAAACTAACAGGTGGGTGCTATTTAAGGCAAAGGAATTTGATTTTATGGGAATTTAATTCATCTGAATAATTTTACACATTTGAAAACTTAACAAACTACTCACCAATAACTGAACAACTCTACTCAGTGCATTATTCACAACAAAAATATCGCTTGTTCCCTGAATAGGGATGCCTTTACGTAAAGACGACCAGCCTGGCTAGTTCAAGCCTGGTTCTGGATTGTTTTCAGGGACTAAACTGTTGTAGCGCCGGCGTCGGGACGCGTGCGAGGGCGTCCACGTAGGCGCAACCGATCGATTGATCGATCACTGTGACGAAATATCCGTGGGAGCAGGGGCGTGATTAAGATTTTTTCCAGTATGGGCTCTTACACGAGAGATCTGTATCAACTAATGAACTATGGTTCTTTTATTTATTTTTTAAATTAAATCTTGGCAATATCCAATTGTCTTGAGCAAAGGAAGGTCTTGGTTTATAGGCGCTGTAGATCCCACCGCGGAATTTGTTTTATTATTCACCTGCATTTTTAATAAGATATTGTTTTAAGTATACACCTACAAAATAATTTACGAAGAGAAAGAAACGCTCCTATTACTTCGGTTTTGTTTCTATGGATTCTGATACAGATATTGACTCCTAGGGTGTCACATACGTTTCAGCGGGAAAGGTATAACCATCACTGTGGTAGTTACCTAATATACATATACTTACTTACTACAATCGGGCAAAAATATGTACCAGGAGCTTTGGTCAGGAACGGAATCTAACTATTTTATGCTTTAAGAGATCAATTTTTGGGCAAGTAAATAAAAGTAATTTAGAAAAACCACTGATCTAAAAAATAAATGGATAAACAATCATACGGCTTGATTGGCAAAATGTGTGCGAAAATATGGGGTCAATATTCTACGAACAGTTGTGCAACGGAACAGCCTAACGCCTGCGCAGTGTCTTATCTTTCGAATAACTGTTCTATATTTTGAAATTCCTTAATTTTCATTGGCCAGATTTTGTGCACGCAGAGTACATGTATCTACTACGCACGCTCACAGCTGACCCAGTCAGTTGTTTTTGTTAAGATTATGACCTCGTAAATTAGCAGCATTAGAAGCGTTCTTTGTTTATCCATTTATTTTTGAGATCAGTGAGAAAAACCTATAATATAATATTGTTGTCACCGTTCTCAGTAACAGTCTCCTCGCGCGGGACGTAAAATAATGGTCCAATCAGCAACAATGCTAATTTTATTTCGAAGATTACTGCCATTAATACTTACTGATGTGGCTGGTGTGTGTCGCTGCACAGACATAATCTTCTCATGACTAAGGGATCTACTCTGAGCCTGTCGTGGAGATCAGCCACGTAAACTTGAAGAACAGCTTTATCTTCACCGGCTGGTGGTGCACCAAACATCAGATTTATAGAAAGCATTTATCTTACAGTCAACAGCGTCGATGGTGTATAACCCATTGATTCATGCTGCGAGCTTCAAAAAGCTAGAAGGAAAAGCAACACCGTCAGACGTTGGATAAAGCGGAGTCGTTCTCGTTTTCCTTATTCCTAGTATTCGCATTATCTCGTCTAATCAGTATCCCTTACTGTAACCGCTACTTGGATGGGAATTGAAACTACTTCTGGACACTCCGAAAAATAGTCCACCCTGAGGCACTTGCTCTCTGAATCTGCAATATGAAAAGGATCTACAATATTTAGTGCAATTCTCTCCCAGGAAAAACCAGACAAGTTTTGCTTCATTTTTCCTCGGGATCTTGTTTTGGGTCCTTTCTTCAAAGTACAGCGGTCACATCTTTTGCAACGTTCTATAATATCCCTATGATAGTTAATCAAGTAATACCGATATTTTACTCGAGCCAGCGTCCTATTGAATCCAAAGGCGACTTCTGTGCAGTTCAGGTAGCATTCTCCCATTCAGTGAGTGATTGAGTCATCTCGCAAGCACAACGCAATGCAAGCCAGTATTCCTTCACCGTTAGACCGAAACTGCAAAATTCTTGCCGTCCAGATCCCTGTAGTTCGCTAGCGAGTCTTGAAATCTTCCTTGGTAATACGCATTTATTGAGTCACGTCTCCGTGGGAAATGTCAAATCCGCATCTGCTCAATACATTTTTACAACTATTCACCAAATGAAGAAAAAATGCTTACCACACTGGAACAGTATAAAAGATTTTATTTGACATATATTGTAGTAATTTGAATTTGCGTATTTTGTTTTTTCGTTTAATTTTTTGTCTTATTAAAACTTAGTTTTATGTTATTGTTCTGTTCTGTATTTTTGCACTCTACAGATTATGCTTAAGTTTTACCGCTCTATTTACCATTTTGTTTATTATTTCTGATTGTTATTTCAACTGTTGATTTTGATTATTGGTAATTTTGAAGATAATCTATATGCTCTGTCAACGAGACTATTGTCACAAATAACGCTTAATTTGAATTTGAATAATGTCGTCGTCAGTCTGAGTAGGTACCCAGTCTTAGTATACTTAGCTCTTACCTGTTGAACGACTCCAGAGTTTTTGATTGTTTCCTTTCCTTCTCGCCTTAAGGAAAAACTGCAAGAAATGTTAGTACACGGTACATCGTGATAACATTCTGGGTTTTTCAAAATTTAGCAGTCAATGCAAGCCAGAATGGTCAGTTCTCACTAGGAACTCCGTTCCATAGCAAAAACTCAGTGGATCCTACTACTGCCGGAAGCTCATTTCGCGGTGACACATTAATATCCGATGACTCTATACTTCTGCGCCACTTTGAACTTGGGAGACTGTTGACACACTGACGGACAATAAAAGTACGTGTTCTTCTCAGTAAGTCGGTGTAAAGGCTACAGAATCTTTCCAAAATACTTGACAAACCGTTGGTAGTTATTGGTGAGTATTAGAAAGCTTCTTACTTCATGTTTTTCTATTGGTCTGGGCCAATATTGTAGCGCTTGGACTTTTTCTGGATCTGCTTCTATCCTTCTTGAAGAAACCACATGTTCAAGGAAGTTCACTTTTTATTAGAACAGAACACATTTTTTTTGGTCTGTAGGTTGGCGCTCCGAGTCGTAGCAAAAACTGTCCTCAATTTCGACAAGTGTTCGTCAATATCTTTGTCATCCAGGTATACCAAGCGTGAACTACTATTTCCATCAGTAACTTGAAGGTGGTAGGTGCATTGCATAAACTAAACGACATCACGGTATATTGATATAGGCCATTTTCAGCTTTAAAGGCGGTCACCACTTTATTTTCTTTGTCGAATTCTATTTGCGGGTGTTTACTTTTTGGAATTGAAGTTGAAAACCACTTGATGTCTTGAGGGTATCGTAGCAAGCTTTCTTTGTGACGTCATTCAGCCGTCTATAATTCACACAGAACCTCGTTGAGTCGTCTTTCTTGATAAATAGTAGGACCATCGATGACTATTGACTATTGGATTCTTCTATAACGTAATCATTATTCCTTTTTTGTAGCATGGAGTTAATTTGGTGCTGCTTTGCGAAAAGAAGTCTTCGCAGTGGTTCACAACTAGACAGATAGCACTCCCCGTGTTGATGCGATGTACTACCATATTGGCTCGCCCAGTAACCTCCTATTGCACAAAGAATTCAGCTTTTTTCACAAAATCAATGGCTTTCTTCTTCGCTTATTTACCTAACTGATTCCATTTTTTTACAGAGCTTCAAATTCATCCGATTTGTCGATAGATTGGCTACCCTCACTGGAATCATGTTGTTGATGGATGATGTTGATTGGACTTGGACAGTGTGCTACCAGAGTTCCATTCTGTTATTTGTTTTCGGATGGTTCCACTATCATGATGGTTAAGCGTGTCGCCTTCTAGCTGTTTTTCTAGGTGTGCTTTCACGATCGTTCCACTATAACCTAGAATTCGTGTATCTTCTTTGACAATGATTTCGACTCGACAATCTTAATTTGAAGGTGGCGAGAAGAGTATTTTTTCATTGCCCACTCGCACTCGCAGCATTCTATTTCTAAAGCCCACATATAGCAAATCGAATGTTTCTAGGACATCCATTACCTAATACCTATAAACTCATCTGCAACAACATGTCAGTAACTTTTACTTCTTCCTTCAATTTAAATCGTCTATAGCAACTTCTAGTAGCGGTTTATTTTCCAACAACATTGCACAGTTTCTGGAAACCTTGTCGGGGCGTATCACTGATCTTGATGCCCGTCGACAGGCCTGCGTTCACTCCAGCTGTAAGACTTTATTGGTCTTCTAGATTTTCAATCGCAGTCTTCTCTCACACATTTTCACAGAACCTACTGTCTCTAGTTTTTGAAAAAATTTGCCTCGGTATTCGGAATTTCTTTGTATATCTTGACTTCCCTAGTTTTGTCATTTCAACTCATTCTTGGTGCTTGCTGCAGGTTTTATTTGTTCCATGAAGTCTTCTGGAACTACCAACCTGACCATTCTCTCCATTTCACAGCTACATTCCTGCAGCGTCTCCAATGGACCCTGCACTGGTTTGCAGGGTGCGGCTATTCTGTTGGCCCTGATACACTGTTTTCATACCTCAGCTTCAAGGCGCCTACTACAGCCGCATAGTAACTTTGTTTTGCCTCACGACTATTCTGGAGAATTTCTAGTACCTTCCTCAACAATGCCTGCATCAATGCTGTTGCTTGTTGCTGTTCATTCCATCCATTTGCACTAGCAGCAGTCTCAAATTGTTGTTTATACATGGACCAGGATGTTTGGGTTAGTTTGGGTTAGTTTGAGTTAGTCAATAGGTAGTGGTTGGAGTTGGCCGCGTACGATTTTTTTTTTTTTTACGGATATGCGCACTCGCAAGGAAATGTCCTATCACGCTCGAGAAGCGGCAAGTGCGCGATACGGCTTACAGACACCATTGTTGGATTCATGGCGAATTCTCTCCATCTTCTTCTGCAGTTCTATATTTCTTCTCGAATTCTTGGCGGACCATACCTATTTCGTCTTTGACCGTTCCTGTTTTGCATTTGACTTCTTCTCGGATATTTATCATTACGCCTTCTCTGTCGAAAGTTCTGGAACAATTTGGTGATACTGGCAATATCTTTCTGTCTTTGTTTCTTTTCTTGATGTTTTCTTTTTTTGCAGTCGACTGTCTTTTTCTTCTTGTTTCTCTTTCAGTCGTCTTTTTACTATCGTCTGTCTTCTCTTGCTTTTGTAAAGGGTGATCCAATAAGTGCTTTAGTACTTTGAAATGGA